CGGTGAGAACCCGGCGTGCTCCGTCCCGGCTTTGTAGGGATGCGAGGTCAATGGTCTAACGACTACGGCATGCACGACTATGCGTACACCCCCCCCTCCTGGAGCTGTTGCCCCCCGTGGCACTCATTGATTCCCCTCGAACATCTCCTCCCTCTGCCGGTGCTGGTTAGGATGGGGGACGCGTGTCATACATCTTGTGACAACCCCCCCCCCCCAACCAACGGCCAGTTGCTCGACGCAGACTGCAGCACGAGCGGAATCACATCATGTCGCCCTTGCGGTATCCTAATCGACACGTGGAAGGAGGTGAAAATGGAGAACAGTGGTGTGCCTACCTAGTTCCAAGCACGAACGTCCGCTCGACGCGATCCACGAGGTGCAGGAGCGGCTGGTTCGGTGGCGATAGATCGACGACGCTGAGCGTGAGTGTCAGCCACTTTCCGCAGAACCCTGCCTGTGGCCGAGAAATGCGCCGGAGACAGAAAAAGACAGCCAGATGGGAGCGAGCGTGAGAGAGACGGTTGGAAAGGCGGAACGGAGAGACAGCGAAACAAACAGAGAGCTACGCACACACGGACGACAGAGCAGCAGGCATGGACCCCCTGAAGGTTTGGGACAGTTTCCACACCGTGGCGCGTCCAGCTCCGTGGAGCCCAGACCAGACCGACTTGTGCCTGATTTTGGTGATGATTTCCACACCCACAGCAACCAAAAGGCCCATTAATGATGTTGTACCTGATTTTGACGCTTGAACTCCACCTCCACCTCCAAGTGGGTCCCCGGTGCCAAGCTGTAGCGTCTGCGGCCCCCCTCCTCTCCTCCCCCCTCCTCCTCCTGCGTGTGCCGCAGAGACGAGTCTAGCTCGTTGCCTATCCTCACGATGAAGGGGGGTGCTCTTTCCGCATCGTCCCTAGGCATCAGCCGCAAGTCCTGTTGACGCGCCAAGCATCGAACACGGAGCACAAACCCAGCGTGATGCATTCTGTACGCCCTCATGTCTCCTCCGTGTGCTTGTGCGGTGACACTTTTGCCGGGGTGATCATAACACGCAGCCGTGCACATCACCATGCATGCGCTCATGACGCATTCGCCGCCCACCGCAAAACGACAAGAACCGAGGACAAAAAAAAAAGAGGCTGGGGCGGGGGAGACGCGGAACACAAAAAACGTGGAGAGCTTCACCTCTAAGACGACACGCCTGTTGCTGAAGTTGTTCAGCTCCAGCGTCCGAATCACGCTCGCCA